TGGTAGTACTATACAGCTATCTGCCCAGCATCCCTTCACCCCTTTCCTTTGGGGAACTACCTCCAGCCCCACTACCTATTCCATATGGCTTTGATAAAGTTCCCCACCAACCAGATGGGTATGTACCAGATCAGCCAACTAAGAGTACCTCCAAGGACAAAGTTAGTCCAGAAATGCGCCACGACACAACAAGGCCAATTGAGGTTCTTTTCTTGAAACATGGAGGCGGCGGGGTCACCCAGCTGTAATGAAGTAAGCCTGAAGCTACCGTACAGTGTTTTCCAATATGTGCAGAACATCTATCTGCAAAAGAAAAGACTGGAGAAATGAGAGAACAATTCCTGGTAACATCTAAGTCCCTGGCTCTATCCAACTAGGAATCTGGCCTATCCTGCAGAATACCCTTTTTTGCTTAAGCAAGTGTGAGTTGTGTTTTTGCCCTTGACAACAGGGAAAAGTTCTATTTAAAAGTCATTCACAGAGCAGCTGCCAAATTTAATGAAAAGCACAGTAAATCCCTTACATACAAACCTTCAAGTTGCAAACTTTCAAAGATGCAAACGTGCTTACATGTCTAATCATGTAAGTTAGTTCACATGTCTGGCATACAATGTAATATGCATGCATCCTCTACAAGTGGCTGGGTTTTTGTGTATTTTAGAGTACAAGAGTATAGTATCTTTACTTCAAGTTGAGGATGTCCAGAAGCAAGCATAAAAGCAGTGGTATACAGCTGATTGTGTTAGCTGAGTACCTAGGCTAACTTTATTGGACTCACAAACATGCTTTCAGAATGGAACTCATTCACATGTAGGGGATCTACTGTAACTAATTGTGCCTGGCAACTGCAGGTACTTAATAACTGGGTCATTGATGAAGTTGTTACTCCTGTAATCAGAAAATACAACCAAAGTATGAAAGGAATGCCAGAAATAAAAACAAAAAGATAGATAAGTCTAAGACAGCATTCCTGGTTGGTAGCAGCAGTTTGGGGACAAATATGAAGAAAGTGACTCCACAGGTAAGGAGAGAACCTATGAAGTTCACAGCCAATAGCAGACTTCAAATGAATTTGCTATGAAAGAACTAAGGAATTTCACTTGCACTAAACTCACTTCAAAGTATGACTGACCTTCCAAAGGGTTTGTCTTTTCATGAGATCAGTGTCTCAACGTTTAAAGAGATTTCAAAATGTACAACTATACTTTTTAAACACCTAAACCCAATTTCAAGTTTTAAGATTTCATAAAATACAACTTAATTTCCATATGGTTAATAATTATTGTGTGAGTCACTGTTGTTCCCTAAGTAGTAATATAAGTTTATCTATTAAACACTATAATTTAAGGAAAGTATCCTTCAATTAATAAAACAGATGAATTCCTTAAAATTTTATACAGAGAATTATACTATCACTATGCAATGCGAAAAGAAATCACAAAACTGGATTATACACCCCCCACCCCCACCCCAATCAATTAGTCAAGTTGAAGAATTAAGAGAAAATGAAGACTTAACCCCATTGCACTCTGACTGCTGCCATGCCAAACAACCGCCCCTCATGTAGCAGCTACTATGATACGTGCATGGCACTGTGCCACCCTAAGCCAGGCTCCACAGAACCATTAGCTGAGCTGCATTATTCAGATACTACAATCTGTTGAAATTTATCTTTTATCCAATACATAGGGGGAGAAAATTAAAAGAATTTTCTCAGTTTTAAATGTTACTCACCTATTTTTTTCTTAAAACTTTGAACTTTCTCTACCTATTCAACTAGAATCTAAGGTGAGTACCATCTGATTTAGCACATAATTTGACACTTGGTTTGGCTTCTCAGGGGTATTCTGCAAAGAGCACTTCAATTTCTGTACAAATCTGAAAACCACAATGCTTAGAGGTGAGGAATCTAAAATAACACAAGCCAGGGCAGGTCAATTATCTCAATGAGTTACAACGTAGTTTTAGAGTGGATATAGAAATTCTAAAAAATATTAATAAGAAAAAAAAATGGTGAAAAGGCCAGTCAACAAGTTCTACAGGCAATCTGTGAAGGTAGTGAGGTTACTAGAGAAATCAAACACTAGTAATGAGGCAGGTGACTCAAAAGACACAGGCTATAGGTGGAGCTTTGAAAGAAAGAGAAGTATTTAGAAATATGGCTAAGAAAGTACAGAGTGGGGGGGAGGAGCCAAGATGGTGGAGAAATAGGACGGGGAGACCACTTTCTCCCCTACAAATTCATCGAAAGAACATTTGAACGCTGAGCAAATTTCACAAAACAACTTCTGATCGCTAGTAGAGGACATCAGGCGCCCAGAAAAGCAGCCCATTGTCTTCAAAGGGAGGTACCAGAGGGATGGGGTGGAGAGGGAGGTGGGAGGGGGGACCGGGATGGGTAATACATGTAAATCCATGGCTAATTCATTTCAATGTATGAAAAAAACCACTGCAATGTTGTAAAGTAATAAGCCTCCAACTAATAAAAATAAATGGAAAAAATAAAATTAAAAAAAAAAAAGTACAGAGTGTTGCCAGTTTCATGTTGTGCTGCAACTACTACTACAGATCTTTGGGTTTTATCTGGCAAACTCATGGTGGTTAGAAAAAGAGGTGTCATGTGAGAATTTTAAATATGTCAGGTAACACATAAATTTCCAATTTTATGTATTTCAGGCTAAATTTGTTGTCATAAAGCATTAAACACCTCAGTGAACTAGAAATCAACTAATAAGACTTCTAAACAGTAAAAGAAAATATATGAAATCCAGGTTGTCAGGAACTAGAACTAAAAATTCTCTGTTATTCAAACCTTTCTTAAAACTTGGCTATAAAAATACACAAAGAGATTTTTCTACATGTGGTTCTGGGGGCCATGTAATCTATTTAGTCCTTTAGACATTTCTAAATTATATTCTTAGATCAGGCTGATTAGACTTCTGCTGATTCACCTGACTCCTAATGTCCCTAATAAATTGCTTTTTGCATCAAACTATTTGCTTACACTAAGGAATATTATAAGAAAAATCATAAAAAGCTCATGGTATGGCTGCTGGAAGAATACAATCCAAATTCTGTCTCTATGTACATCAGGTTTCAGCAACATGAGAAACACTGTTTTTATCCAATGGATACTGTGAATCCCATAAAAGACCCATATCCCCCTTTGTTTTGGCCCCAAGGAAGTTCAGAACAATGTTTGCCATCTTTTTCTAAAAAAATGAATGGACTATGTAGTTTGCATCTCTAAAAGGATATGTTACTTTAGTTTATTAGTCTATCTTTATTTTTTCTTTCATATGATTCTCTTAACTGTACTCTTGAATTTTTTTTAATTGCCTCACATCCTTTGTGGAGTAACGTGCATGCAAATAATACAAAATCTAGAATTCACAACAATTAAACAGCATTGAGCACTAGAAGAGTGCTAAAATGTCACCACATTCTACTCTCCCTTTAAACCAATAAGGCAGAGGAACAAAAAGCATTTGCAAACAAGCTTTTGGTTTTTTTAGAGTCCAGGATATCTGCTAGAATTAATACATACTCAAACCAATCTATCTTGGCACTATACAACAACTGGAACTCAGGATGATAAACCCAGGACACTAAAAGAGCCTATGAAATATTTTAAGGTTTCAGGCTTTTTCTTTAAAATATAGAAGTAGACTAAGATATCATTTTAGATATATTTTAGCCACCATGACCACCACCACATTTTCTAGCTAAAACTCTCAGAAAGACCAAGTAAAGACAGTGCTCATGATCCTAGGTAATCCAAGTAAATAAGGACCTTCTTTAAGGTTCTCTTCTGGGCCTCTCTGAAACTCAGTAGGCATGTCTACCTTCACAGTTTCAGTTTCTATGTAAATAACTCAAAAATATCTCTACCACTTCAACTGAACATCTTATCATAACCTGAATTAAAATGATCAAAATGGAGCTTCACTGTCTCCCTCTTCTTCCTCACCACATAAGCAACCCTTTCCAAAGATCTCATTCTGTCCTATTCCAATTCCAGGTCAACTTCATCCCTTTCTTCTCTTCATCTCTGATATTCTATCTTATCAGGCTCAACCATTCTTCTTCTGAAGTATCTTTCTGGCTGGCATTTTCTTTTTCATTTGCACTTTTATGTTACTAGTTCAGGCCCTAATTACAAGTTGACTTCTCTCCTCTGCTCAGACTTTCCATTTCATCCTATATTTCTTTTTTTGTTTTTGTTTTTTTCCATTTCACCCTATATTTCACTGTCTCAGTGTTGTTTTTTATAAAGCCATTTTCCTCAAACCTGCAATAACAGTTTCCTAAACTTATTACATCATAATCAAAGTGACATCCCTCGACCTGAACTTTCAGGGAGATCTAGGATATGGCCCCACACTAATTATCTCACATTTCCCATAACTATCCCTAAATCACCATTCACTACTCCAGGCCAGGTTAATGCATCTACCACACTTTGATCTTCAACCACAGCATTCATAAGACTGTCATTTTTCATGTCTTCTAGATCTCTGTTCAAATGTCACCCTCTCAGAGAGGCCCTTGACCACCAAAAAGTCACTATTCCACTGCTCATTATTTATTGGGCATTGTGTCAATAAATAATAATGATAAGCACTATCTCCTCTCACTAGGATATAAACCTTGTAAGTTCTTTGAGGGCAGCTATCAAGTATGATTTTTTATATTTCCCATGAAAGTTTTCCTGGATATGTTAGAACACCAATAAATACCTAATGATCAGTTTACTACACAGAATATTTGCAATCTGTAAAAATATAAAATTTTCTAAAGCCAGACATAAACACAGAGAAACTACAAAAAGGGTAATGACATAATAAATATTATTTAGTGTAAGTTCAGAATCACATCACTTTTGACTTGAAAAGTTTTCCTAAACTAATCAAACATTAATTTCTATTTCAACAACTAAAATTTCATTAAAATGACAACCACTAAGCAAATGATTCTAAGGGAGCAAGCTGAAGTCTTACTTAATATTATAACGTCCAGTTTTCAGTGTACATCTATCAGGAAGCTGAGCCAGTTTTCTTGAGAGCACTTTAAAATACTTTCTGCACTCCTGCATGCCTGTGCCTTGTTCATAGTCAGTAGAAGCAGAAAGTGGCAGTCCATCTCTGACACGAATGACTGAGGCAGATAAAATCATAGACATTTCCACCAGCAGAGAAGACCTGAAACAAAATGAACAATTTGAGTTAGGTAAGAAATTAAATCCAAGGCTGATAAACAGTGCAAAAAATGTGCAACTCACTAATAATCAAAGATATACTAATTAAAGCAATGACACATCATACTTTCCTTCACAAATTAGCTGTTAAAAAAACCACTTGCATCTCATTAGAACTGATTCAAATGAATTCTTTTTAATGGCTGAGTAATATTCCATGGTGTATATGTACCACAGCTTCCTCATTCATTCGTCTGCTGATGGGCATCTGGGTTGCTTCCATGTCCTGGCTATTATAAACAGTGCTGCGATGAACATTGGGGTGCACGTGTCTCTTTCAGATCTGGTTTCCTTGGTGTGTATGCCCAGAAGTGGGATTGCTGGG